GGTCAGACAGAGGACTTTATTACTGACAGCATATCAAGCAGTGTGAGCATGAGCAAATTTGTATTGGTTTTCCTTGACCCCAGGTTCTACAGGGCAATGCAGAGGGCCCAGAAATTCTTACATTCACAGACAGTTGTGTTACAAAGAAAGGAACACTGAACTTAGACAATCTACCACTTTTAGAGTAAGCAGTGAGTAAATCTGCTAAACCTACTGTTGATCCTGGAGAAAACATTCCTTCATTCCTCAAGGTTTCTCACCACAACCCTGAGAAATGACCAGGACAAAGGTCATGTAGACCTGACCTTATACCCTACACAAAAATTAACTCAGAATGAATCAGAGACCTAAATATAAAATGCAAAACTGTAAGTCTCCTAGAAGATAACATTGGAGAAAACCTAGATAAATTTAGGCTGACAATGACTTTTTAGATGCAACACCAAAAGCACAATTCATGAAAGAAATAACTGATAAGCTTCTGCTCTGCAAAAGACAATGTCAAAAGAATGAAAAGCCACAAATTGAGAGAAAATATTTGCAAAATACATATCTGAAAAAAGGACTATTATCCAAAATATACAAAGAACTCTTAAAACTCAACAATAAAAAAATGAACAACCGGATTGAAAAATGGGCCAAAGACCTTACGAGACACCTCACCAAAGAAAATACATGGATGGCAAACAAGCATATGAAAAGATGCTCCACATCATATATCATCAGAGAAGTGCAAATTAAAACAACGAGATACCTTCAGACTGACAAGCTTCAGAGATGGGTGCTTAGGGGGAGGGATGAGATAAATCAAAGAACTTACATGCATGTATGCATAACCAATGGACATAGACAACAATGCTTGGCTAGGGTGGGGGCAGTATAGAAAGGAGGGTGTCTGGGGGAAGGAGAAACATCTGGAATAAAAATAAAGAAAGAAAGAAAGAAGCTCTCTCAAAAAAAACAACAACAACGAGATACCACTACACATCTATAACAATGGTCAAAATCCAGAATATTGACACTCCCAAATGCTGGTGAGGATGTGGAGCAACAGGAGCACTCACACTTTGTTGGTGGGAATGCAAAAAGGTTCACCTTGGAAGTGAAGACAGCCACTTTGGAAGACAGTTTAGAGACTTCTTACAAAACTAAACATACTCTTACCATACAATCCAGCAATCATGCTCCTTGGTATTTACCCAAATGAGACAAAAACATGTCCACACAAAAATCTGCACATGAGTGTTTACAGCAGCTGTCTTCATAACTGCCAAAACTTGGAAGCAACCATGATGTCCTTCAGCAGGTGAATAGATAAAAAAAAGTGTGTACATCCAGAAAATGGAATGTTATTCAGCACTAAACAGAAATGAACTATTATACCATAAAAATATATGGAAGACACGTACATGCATATTATGAAATAAAGGAAGTCAATCTGAAAAGGCTACATACTACATGACATTTTGAAAAAGATGAAACTATGGTGACAGCAAAAAGATCAGTAGTTGCCAGGGGTTGGGGGAGAGAGGGATGAATAGGCAGAGCACAGAGGATTTTTAGGGTAGTGAAAATATTCTGTATGATACTATAATGGTGGATTAATCTCATTAAACGTTTGTCCAAATCCATAGAATGAACAACACCAACAGTGGGGCATAATGTAAACTATGGACTTTGAATGATTATGATGCATCAGTGTGGGTTCACTGGCACTGGACAATGGGGAGGTTGTGCACGTGTAGGGTTAGGGATTATATGGAAAATCTCTGTACCTCGCCCCCAGTTTTTGTGAACTTAAAACTGCTCTAGAAAAGCGAAGTCTTAATTTTTAAAAAATTTAAAAAAAGAGTGCTCAGGGCCTTACATTCTTGGGACACCCAGCGAGATGTTTAAGAAAGTAAGAAGCCCAAGGAGCATGGCTCTCACCGCAGCACTCTTATTTTTTTCCCAGTGTTATGAGATTGTTGTCTATTGTTCCTAAGTCACACTAAGATCCACGAGTACATTTTCCAAAAGCACATCCTTTGCATATTAAAACAACAGGTCATGTAATGCATAGAAAGTTTCTAAAAGAAACTTCTCTTTCCAAAGTTGGGCCAGCTTCTTGTTTGACAGCCCCACCAGAGCCTCTAGAAGCAGCACTGCCCACTGAGCTACCCCAAAGAAAATGATGATGTTAGGACTAGATCTCAAAGCTGACAAATATTTCTGCCCAAAGAAAGTAACAAATAGGGTCAGATCATTCCACTCTCACTCCATTGAAGTAAATCTGTAATCATCAATTTTTTTAAAAAGTATGTGAGTGTATATGTTTGGGGGACAGGAAAGAAGACCCAGATCTGCCTAAACATGTGAAAAGAAAAGAAGTCACATACTACTATGTGTCATATGTTGTTTAATATTTTTCTGGATAGATTACATATCTAAATCTCTAATCCTAAAATTGCCCCTCATGGCTTATTTTAAAGAAAACCATAATGAGATCTAATTAACCCCTAAAACTTGCACCTAAAACTTCTCCTTCGATCCATTCCCAGCTCTTTTATTCTATCAGTTCCATGATCCCAGGCGCCTTGTGTGCATCATGTCCTATGGTCACCTAAACCCCTTTTCTTTACCTTAGCCACTCTATTCCCACCGAGACCAATACTCTATCATGATATATCTCACTATGTCCCATGAACATCTTTACTTGTAACCGTAACTGCCACTAATTAAAACTACAATTTCATCATGATATCTCAGTGGGAGCCTAGAAAATCTTCTAGAACAAAGCTTCTCAAACTTTAGGGTACATTAGAGTCACCAGGAGAGCATGCTAAATGCAGATTCCAGGGCACTACTCCCAGAGGTTTGATTTCCTAGGTCTGGGGTGAAACTGAGAGTGTGCATTTCCTTTAAGCTCCCAGATTAGATGGGATGTTGATGCTTCTGGTCCACAAAGGACACTTTGAGTAGCTCTGTTCTAGAACATCTAGGTAATGAATAACCCCTCAGAGTAAAAGTTAAAAGGGCCTTTTGAGAGACCTTACAGAAGCCTCCTATGTCCAGGAAAGACAACAAATAATATCAGGACTGAATATCCCTTCTCTTGGTGCCTAGATGCTAAGTCCCTAAGGAATCTGGATTATACTTGGGGTGCCCGGGGGGCGGGGGGGAGAGGGGAGAACCTTGAATGTGACTGAATCTTTAACACAAAAAGACTAGCTCTAAACCAGAAGTGACTGAGTTCATTTGGGTTGACAAATTTAAGTTTTCCCACATTATCCAAAACAGAGCTAGTGAGCTGAATTCAGTGAGCAATGGACATTTATATCTTGAGCCAATCTGAGTGTAGTAAATGTAAATTATTCAGTCTACTAGTTTGCTGCTCAGATAGCATGGTTACCCTCATGTGACCTGAAAGGTACAAAAAGCACTTCTTGGGGATCATCAAACAATTTAATAGGTGCTCTCTAGAATTTCCCTATCCACTCTTAGTTCCTTTTGAAAGAAAGAAGATTAATCAATTCACTAGATAGTAGGTACTAAATGCAGTTTAGTAAATATAAAGAAACGGCACATGGTCAAGGGTTTGAACTGATCCAATAACAAACTGCAAGTTGTTTTAAACACAACAGAAACAAAAAAGTACATATTTTAGGTCAACTAGTACAGATGTGTCCCAGCAACATTAGATGTGAGGAACACAACAATGAAAACACGGAGTCCCTGTCATACTCACTAGTGCTTCTTTACTTACTTGCCTATTTTACTCTTCAAAAACACTAACCAGGCACAATTTCTTTATTCACAAATCATTTGTTTTTTCCTCAGAGAATATTATATATGTTCTGTTTTAGAATTCAGTGGATTACTCCATGCGAGGATAAACGTAAATCTCCTGTACATTCTCAAATCCTTTTAAATCTACACTGCCCAACCCAGTAGCCACTAGTCCCATATGGCTATTCAAATGTAATTACAATGAAATACAGTGATACCTCGGTTCTCGAACACCTTGGTTTTCGACCAAATCGGTATTCGACCAGGAGATTCGAGAAACTTTTGTCTCGGAATCCGAACAAATATTTGGAACTCGAACTTCCGAGATGAGCCGAGTTGAGCGGAATGGCGTTCATTCGGCCCAGCGCGCCTTGCTTGCGGCATCAGTGTGAGTGCAGAGAGAGAGTCACGCTTTGTGGAGAGAGTCACGCTTTACACTGAATTTAACCCTTAGACATACTGTACACTTTTATTTCTTGTTGAGACTTATGTTTTTCTACATATTATATACAAATTAGGCCAGTAAATAGGCATTTTCTGGGGCTTGGAACGAATTAATCCAGTTTCCATTATTTCCTATTGGTTTCATTGCTTCGGTTCTCGAACAATTTGGTTCTCGACCGTCCTCCTGGAACGAATTATGTTCGAGAACCGAGGTATCACTGTACAATTTAAAAATCAGTTCCTCAGTTATAGTAGCTATACTTCAAGTGGCTGCGACATTGCACAGCACAAATTCAGACCATGTCCATCATCACACAAGGTTCTACTGGACTGCACTTATTGTACCTATATAAGGGTCCACACAATGGCCACATATGAAAATAGGTGACATGTTTTGGCAAACGAGTACTGTCTTCTTCAATACTCACATGATGCCACCTAGCACTAATAAGTTACTTACATTCTTTTTGTCAATGGAGTCTATACTAGCTTAAATACTGACTTCGGTTGAGTATGGTTTTAATTGTAATAAAAGCCACAATAATCACTTTTTTATGTCTTGTTTGTAGCAGAATACAGGGATGGGCAAAAGCAGGTTTAGAGTTGTGAGTACAAGGACACAGAGTTTATTCTTGTATTGTTTATTTATTCATTGTTGTATTATTTATTATTAACCTACTTTCCCCCACCCCTGTATATGACTGGGAATGCATTATGAAAATACATAAATAATAGCAATAATGCAATAAATAAGCAATTCAACCTGGGAAACATCTAAAGCAACTTACCCTCCTTCACTTTCTGCTTCCTCTGAACTATTGCTTGTTCCTGAACTATGAACTGTGGCAAGCCTTCTTTTCCTAGCTCTGTGCTGAGGACTAATCCTATGAGTGGCTGTCTTTCCTCCAAGTTCACCATGTACATATTCCTCCAGCTTTGGAATGGTTTCTTTAAGAACTCTGATTTCCTCTTTGAGTTCTTCCATATTTGTCAGTAATTCGTTTAACTTCTCCAGTATCTGAAGTTGCCTTCCTTGGTCATTATGCATTTCATCTTGCAAAGTCATTGAATCATATGCATTCCCCAGAGAAAGAAATTTAGGTAAATTCATTGCTGTGCTTGGTTTACGAACCTTGTGGTACCACAAAAGAAGCAAACTGATGCCAGTAATTCCCACCATGATGCCAAGTATCAGTTCTTTGTTTGCAGAATGAGACATTTCTTGGTTTTTGTTTCTAAAATTAAAAAACACAAATGTAAACGAATGTTGTTTCTATCTTAGCACAAAACAAAAATATTAGAGCTTTTACAATCAGCAAAAGCCAAGTCTACACCATCACACACACACACACACACACACACACACACACACGGTTGATAAATCATAAACTAAAATATATTACCTCTATAATAAATGCAGCCCAGTGGAAATATTTACTTGAAGGATATTACTGAAGTCCATTGTAAAGTATAAATTTTAATTCAGAATCTGTACTCTGCATGACTGATCTGATATTTACTCTTTACTATATCTTTTTAAATGGTGTAATAGAGGTAAAAGCATCATTATAAATTTCTGGGGGAAAAAACTATTTAAATTCAAATTATGCTTAACTGTGTCTGAACCTTTTATTTGTATAAAATTGACTAGTGTGCTGATTTCTGGATCTTACCTAATCTTTAAAGAAGGCTGAAAAGGTCTTCTTTAGCATCTAGTTTACATTTGTATTTATATTTAGAGTGATAAATGATATTTTAAAATCCCAGGGCTTTGAGATACAAGACATATGAGATGCCCTCACCGGTTTGGCTCAGCAGTTAGAGTGTCAGGCCTCGGACAGGAGAGTCTCAGGTTCGATTCCCAGTGAAGGGCATGTACCTGGGTTGCAGGTTCGATCCCCAACCCCAGTTGGGGTCGTATGGGAGGCAACCAATTGATGTGTCTCTCTCACATGGATGTTTCTCTCTCTCTCTCTCTCTCCCTCCTTCCTTTCCCTTCTGAAAATCAACAGAAAAATATCCTTGAGGATTAACAAAAAAACAAAACACAAAATACATTAGAGAGCTTTGGCATGTATGTAACCTGACCTCCACCTCTCTTCTTTTCAACATGAAAAGTAGAAATGCTAACACATGTGCAGCCTTCACCTCCTTTCTTTCTATGGCCCAGAATTCCTCTCCTCCTTACATTTCTATTTCTGAAGTCTTAATATTTTCCTTTCTTTTAAATTTTAACTTTAAAATTTTTTAATTTATTGACTGATTTTAGAGAGAGAAGGGAAGAGAGAGAGCGAGAATCAATTTGTTGTTCCACTTAGTTATGCACTGATTGGTTGCCTTTTGTACGTGAAGACCAAATGCACAACCTTGGCATATGGGGGTTATGCTCTAACCAACTGAGCTACTCTGCCAGGCCTCAAATTTTAACTTAAAAAAAAAAAAAGTGGCCCTGGCCGGTTTGGCTCAGCGGTTAGAGCGTTGGCCTGCGGTCCTGAGAGACCCGGGTTCGGTTTCCGCTAAGGGCACGTACCTCGGTTGCAGTTTGTCCCCGGTCCTGGTCAGTTGTGCGGGTGGCAGCCACTCGATGTGTCCCTTTCATGTCGATGTTTCTCTCTCTCTCTCTGTTCCTCTCTCTCCATCCCACTCTACCTGAACAAAAAATGGAAAAATGTCCTCGGGTGAGAATAAAAAAAAAAAAAAAAAAGTGATTTATTTGACTCTTTTCTCCTTTTGAAATTTTGCTTTTCTGCATTCAAGGCCCACGCTTTGGCCCACCTACTTCCAAATAACCTCAGCTCCTTTGACCAAATGCACCTAATCCTTCTTTAGAATATCCCATCTTCACTAATGTTATTGCCTATCTCTATTCTTAAAGTCAAAAGACCATTAAAGGAAAATAATAATATTAAGCCCCCTTTCCTTCTGAGACTTTTTTTTTTTTTATCCTCACTAGAGGACATTTTTGCATTTATCTTCAGTTCCAGCAGGGAGGGGGGAGGGAGGAAGACAGAAAAAAACGATGCAAGAGAGACATCGACTGGTTACCACCCACAGGACCCCAACCAGGGCCGGGGACCAACTGCAACCAAGGTACGTTCCCTTAGCAGGCACCAAACCCTGCGGACTTTCTGGTCCGCAGGCCGACGCTCTAACCGTTGGACAAAACTGCCCAGGGCTCCTTCTGAGACTGTAAAATGGCAATAAGTATATTAGAACTATGATGAACTTATGTAATTACAGTACAATATAGTAATGTTTTTTTTTTTACTAACTTCGAAGTTCCCCAAATTGTTTTCCCATTAATTTCCCCTATTTTGTAAAAAAACAAAAATCTGTAATAAATTTTGTTAGCCACTTGAGAGAAATGTTATAAATAATGGTAAGCTGTATTACAGGAAATCAAATTTGTAAAATTTTTGTTTTTTTCTGAACTGTTTCAAGAAAATTATTACTGCTCTGCCACTATCATCCCTGAGAAAAAGGAAACAAAGGAGGTAAATTCTTGACTCTCCCCAGGTTTATAATTGGAGGCAACTTCTGAACTATGGCACAGAAAGGGGAAAACCAAACAGAGCCTGGGAGTCTCACAGAGTTGAACAGAGATCAGAATTCAAAAAAACTAAAGCACCTACAGTTTTTGTGGCATAGTACTGAAGACGAGGTAGGTATGAAGAGAAAGGGCCCCAGAAATCTGTACAGGAGTCTCCTCTAAAATCAAATTGTAAGTTAAAATTTGAAAGAAAGGAAAACATTAAGACCTCAAACAGAAATAGAAATGTAAGGAGCAGAGGAATTCTGGGCCATAGAAGAAAAGGAGATGAAGGCTTCATATATGTTAGCATTTCTGCTAAGAAAAGATCCAGAACTCAACAACATAAAAATCAGTGTTGATCATCCACTAATAAATTATTGAATATGTAAAGAAGCAGGAAAACATTAACACTACTCTTACAAATATGTTCGCTACTTAATATAAATATTAAAAATGTTAAAAGAGGCCCTGGCCAAGTAGCTCAGTTGATTAGAGCATCATCCTGATCCCCCAAGGTTACAGATTCCATCCCCAGTCAGGGCACATATAAGAATCAATCAGTGAATTCATAAATAAGTGGAACGACAAATTGATGTTTCCTCTCTCTCTCTCTCTCCCCCCTTCCTCTCTAAAATCAATGAATAAAAAAAGGTTTAAAAATCCATTGACTAGATAATTAGATATAAGTAATATTCCTGTTACAAGTTTCAATTTGTAAAGTGCCAGTGATAATGGAAAATGAGACATTTCAATTAAAATTTTTGCCATCTAAAATTAATATGTAATACATAAAGGTAATTCACATGTGAGAATCAAGAATTCTACTTAAATAAATCATTAAAATGTTGACTCAAAAGAAATTTATTTTTGCCCTGGCCGGTTTGGCTCAGCGGTTGGAGCGTCAGCCTGCGGTACAGAGAGACCCGGGTTCGGTTCCTGCTAAGGGCATGTGCTTTGGTTGCAGTTTGTCCCCGGCCCTGGTTGGTCGTGCGGGTGGCAGCCACTCGATGTGTCCCTTCACGTCGATGTTTCTCTCTCTCTCTCCTCCTCTCTCTCCCTCCCGCTCTATCTGAACAAAAAATGGAAAAATGTCCTCCGGTGAGGATAAAAAAAAAAAAAAAAAAAATTTATTTTTTTCTTTAACCTTATTTTTATGCTTACACTGTTATAGGTGTCCCCATTTTCCTCCCTTTGCCCACCTCTACCCAACCTCCATCCCCACCCCTTCGCCCGGTCGTCACTACACTCTGGTCTGTCCAAGTATCCTGCATACGTTCTTTGGCTAATCCCTTCCTTTTCTTCACCCCTCCCCCACCCTCCTCCTCCTGAAGGGTGTCAGGTCTGTTCCAAGCATCCGTGCCTGTTTCTGTTTTGCTCCTCAGTTTATTTTGTTCGTTAGATTCCACATATAATTGAGATCATATGGTATTTGTCTGGAAAGAAACTTCTACATTAAAATTTCTTGGTAGAAAGTCACAAAAATTAACTCCAGAAAACATTAAGTTCTAGTTTAAATGAACTTTTAGATAAAAAGTATACTTTACTAAGTTAATTATAATGCTTTCAGCAATATCTAGCATATATAGTCACTTAATTCATCAACAGATTCTTAGGGGAAAATACACAGAACATGTAACTGATAAAGTCGGGGGGTGCAGGGCACACTCTGCAAGGACCGTCGGACCGCCGAGCCGAGGTCTGGGTCCCAGGAATCCCAGGAGACCTTGCCTTAGGGATCAGACTCCCCACGGCGACCTGGGGAACCGGACCCTTTTAAGTGAATTCTAGCACTAAGATCTCACCAGGTGTTCACAATTTTTCCTATTTTATCATTTCTTTTAAATTTAGGGCTTCTAAGGTTTGGCTGATCTGCATGTTTGTCGCACTAAAAGCCTGCCCATCGTTTTGTGTAAAACAGGTAGAAAACCCGCCTCTGTTTTGAGCAGAACAAAAACGTCCCGCGGCGGCTGAAAGGTACGACCCAGGGAGCCGAGGAGAGAGGCGAAGACGCGGCGCGGGGGCCGCGGGGGCCGCGGGGGCCGCGGGGGCCGCGGGGGCCGCGGGGGCCGCGGGGGCCGCGGGGGCCGCGGGGGCCGCGGGGGCCGCGGGGGCCGCCGGCCGAGGCAGCGCGCTGCCCGCTCCCCACGCACGCGGACCCCGGGGCGGTGGGGCCCGGCGCCCGGGGCCGCAGGACGAACGGCGGCGCGGACCGCGGGAGGAGGGCGGCGGCGCAGCGGCCGGAGCGCGTCCGCGCGACCCGGAAGTGCTCGCTGCGCCCGGCGCACCCGGCCGCGCCCGCCCCCGCCCCCGGCCACAGCCCGCCGCCCGGCCGCTCTGCACGCACCTGCGCTCGCCGCGCGCTTCTCCGCCGTCGGGGACCGGGGACCGGGGCGGGCCCGCGGGAGGGGCGGGTGGGAGGCGAGCGCCCAGCGGAGGGAGCCCTGCAGCCCGCGAACCCTGAGGGCCGGCGCCGGGCCCGACCCGGTGAGTGGAGGCGCCGGGGGAGGAGCCCGCGGCCCCTGGCCCTCGGGTCCCGCCTCTTCGCTCCGGGTGTTCACTCACCTGCGGCCGACGCCCACTTGGTGCAGAGGAAGACTGCGCTCCGCCTGGCCCCTCGGCCGCACCCGACCTTGTCCGGATGCTGCCTCCCCTCGAGGCCCGTCCCCCCCGCGCCTGGGCTCAGGGTCACCCGCGGTCGGCCCCTGGGAGGCCCGGCGCTGGCCGTCCACCCCCAGCGCGTCCCCTCCCGTCGCCGCCGCTGCCCGACCCGCGCCTCCCCCAGTCTCACCCTCTGTGCCCCTTCGTAGGTACAGCCTCTGCTGGCGGGGTCCGGCGCAGGTGCCTTTAGCTAAGTAGTGACCCTGGCCACGGCCATGTTTTCCTAACTTCGTTTGGACTCGTGTTCCCTTTACTGCGCACAACCCCCAATCTGCTGGTCCCCCCACCTTTCTAGGTTGTCTTTCGATGAACACCACCAACCATCTTCTCCGACGCTGAACATCTGAGATTTAAGCTTCGCTTTTTGTGGTTTTTATAATGAAAGTAAAATTCTGCCAAATAAACTCTTTAACAACCTCTCACTCACTCCCTTCTGTATTTCCCTCTCAGCTTTCAATTCAGGCTTGCAGAGAACTTAGTCTTGATTATTAAATTCCCAGGCAATGTAATGAATGGGCTTAAAAATGGGTATGCTCTATTAAAAAAAAAAATGTCTTCTATAAAAAATAAAAAAGCGATTTTTACAGTCCATACAAAACTCTTTACTGATGGGAATTCTATAGGCTTTTAAGACTAAAAGATGGTTTTTGAGCTTCAAGCAAGCTACATTCAAGAATAAGTAGGCCTAGCCATAGCCATTTTATTAAAACTACGTTATGTTTTGGCAGACAGCAGACCTGAACCTCTAAGATTTGAAACTAGTAAAGCCCTCCTTTTTTTATTCTCTTAAAAAAAATATATGGACTGCTTCAAGAATTTGCCTGTCATCCTTGCTTAGGGGCCATGCTAATCTAGTTCTAATTTTAGTATGTGTGCTGCCCAGCCAGGACTGCACTCCCTTCTCTAAAAACCAGTTTCAATACTATTTTATCATGGTTTGCAAAGATATTACAATAAACTTAAAATCTGCTTTATTCAACCAGAATACAATATCATGTAAACCTGTCATGCATGGTGATAATAGGTTTCTTTTTTTTAAAGAACAACAGGATTTGGTTACAAAGAAATTTTACTGTTTCTTCAATACTTAAAAGAAGCTTAAAGCCCCTTGAGATTTTAGCTTTTCCAGAAGGAGCCCACTGAACTGCTCACTGCTACATTCCCAGCATACAGCGCTGAAGAGGTCTTCAATGCAAATATGGGGTGTGGGCTGAGAACAGGGCCTTGCCAACTCTCTGCTCCAAGAGGAAGGTGGTAGCTGGTAAGCTGGTACTTACTTGTTCTTCAAGTTTAGGAAGTAGGGTAACATGGGTTCCTCTGCCTGTCCTGTAATACCTCTGAAGAACAGAAGCTCCTTGATCAGTAAAAATTATGAGGTAGAACTCAGATGATGGTAACCATTATCTTTGGTCAAGTTAAAACTGAAAAGCAAAGAGGAGCTATCTTTACCAGGCACTGTTGTAGGGATTACATAAAAAAAAAGAAGAAATGACTCACCCCACCCTTAGTAGGAGTGTACAGTCTTAAAGAACTTCCCCCCAAAAAATTAAGCCCCAATCCCCAATATGATGGTATTTGGAGGAGGGGGCCTTTAGGAAATAATTAGGTCATGACTTTGGAGCCTTCATGAATGGGATTACTGCAATGCCCTTATAAGAAGCTTAAGAGCCCTGGCCGGTTTGGCTCAGCGGTTGGAGTGTCAGCCTGCGGTACGGAGAGACCCGGGTTCGGTTCCCGCTAAGGGCACGTACCTCGGTTGCAGTTTGTCCCCAGCCCTGGTTGGTCGTGCGGGTGGCAGCCACTTGATGTGTCCCTTCACATCGATGTTTCTCTCTCTCTCTTCCTCTCTCTCCCTCCCGCTCTATCTGAACAAAAAATGGAAAAATGTCCTTGGGTGAGGATAAAAAAAAAAAGAAGCATAAGAGATCAGAGCTGTCTCTCTCCACCGTGCGATGATATGGTAAGCCAGTTGTCTGCAGACCAGAAGAGGATTCTCACCAGAACCCAACCATAATATCACTATGAGCTGAGATTTCCACCATCTAGAATTGAGAGAAATAAATGTTTGTTTTTTAAGCCACCCAGTTGGTAATTTGCTGTAGTAGCCCAAAATAAGACACTTTAATTCACTACTAGCACAGCATTTCCGATCACAAGTACCGGTGGCATACAACTTGTCCCCACCTGCTTTTGCAGCTTTTCTCTGCCATTCCACCAGACATCATCCTATACTTCAGCTGGAGCCAAACTACCTTACAATCTTTCCGTATGCCACCCATTTGCTAGTTTCTGTGTCCTTTTCAGGCTGCTCCCTTTGCCACCTGTCAAAAACGAACTCATCCAGTCCAGTCTGCTTCCCTTGAGAAGCTATTCTACACATTCTCCTCCTCCCCAAAAGAAGTGTTCATCCATGCCCAACCAAAACTTTTGTGGAAGGATTAAAAGTTTCAATGAATATAAAACCTCTCTGCTGTCTTTCAGCTCACCTCTATCATGTACACTGCACATTACTGCTCGGTGAGTAAGACTGAGATGGTGAAATAGATTTATCTTCATATCCTCAGTGTCTGGCACTGCACATACTCTATATCAGATAATATTTGAAAACATTTCTGTGAAGTAGTATGTATGTACACTCAAGAGAAAAGAATTAAGAAATATGCAGTCCTGCCCTGGCCGGTTTGGCTGAGCAGTTGGAGCGTCGGCCTGCGGTTCCCGCTAAGGGCACGTACCTTGGTTGCAGTTTGTCTCCGGCCCTGGTTGGTCGTGCTGGTGGCAGCCACTCGATGTGTCCCTTTCACATCGATGTTTCTCTCTCTCTCTCTCTCCCTCCCACTCTATCTGAACAAAAAATGGGAAAATGTCTTTGGATGAGGATAAAAAAAAGAAATATGCAGTCCTTCATATAATAGTAATATAAGTGTATGTGTAATTATTTCCAAATCCTTTTATCACTTGTCAATTTAGTCAATAGACCATTAAAGGAAACTGAACTGCTTAGCTAGAAGGCAATCAAGAGTTTTGCCTTTATTCCTTGAGACAATATACTCTTTTTGTTCTAGAAATTTGATCTGGATTTTACTTTAAAGCTCAGAAATTGGTGATAGTCAGATGTTACAATGTATATTACATTACATTTTCTAATTTACAACCTAAATTTCTTCATTTATAAACCAAGGGCCGACCTGTAAATATAATTAATAACACCATGTCATCTCCAACTCCCACCTCAAAACAGCAAAATATACCTTCTTTTCTAGATGGGTTAAGCAAGTGCTTTACTGCTAAATAACGGAAGAAATTATTTTAAAGGAACACATTAAGAGAGCGAGTCAGAAAGCAAGGAGAGATCAAATCTGCCTGTGCAGACGAAGAGCAGGGTGGAGGCAGGAGCCAGCCAGGCATGACTGAAGCCCCACCTCTGTGAACTGGACCGGGAGCAAACAGCAGCAGCTGCAGCAAAATCCACGATCGAGTCTTACATTCAGTTGCTGCTTCATTTTTTACATGAATAATTATATTTCATCTTTACAACCATCCACTGAGGTAAAAAGTTACAGGCGAGGAAACCGAGGCATAGACAGGTGAAGGAACTTGTCCCAGGCTACACAGTCCACTTTAGAAACTCTCTTAATCACTCCCTGTGAGCCAGGCTTTGCCGTCTGTGATAGCACATTTCGTAAGCACCTTTCGTAAGCACGTCATAGCGCTTCTCACGTGATGTTGTCGTCTCCACCTCCCATGTCAGTTATCTGCGGTTCATCTGTCACTGCTCCTCTTACAGGAGGGACTGAATGCCCAGGCTGCAGCACTACCCATGGAGGCTGTTCTGCGCTGTTATCTCTAAACCACAGGGTATAACATTATTGTGGGTCTATCACATTCAGGTTAGGCTAGGAATACAGCTTGGGGAAAAGAGGAAAAAATAATACTGTGTCTAATATAAATATGTTCCCCCCCAGGACACAAGAAAATTACCCTGAAAATATTTGAAAAATATCTATGACTAAATTGGACCTTCCAAGGCAAAAGTGCTTTCTTTGAAAAAGGCATAAGGATATGTTTATTAAATATTTCCAGAAGACAATGATTAGTGGGATAAATTATTAATAATTTAAATATAAGAAAATAGTTGAACCAATATGCCTGTGCTGAATAAATGAGAAACAGTATTTTAGAAAGATATGCATGAAAGAAAAGTTAGCAACAATATTTATATAATGCTACTTAGAAATTCACTGTTGAACTAATTTGTTACACAAACATAACTCATTTAAATACAGAATTTTTATTAGAAACTTTCTGTTTTGTTGGAAAAATGAAGTTTGTGTTCAGTGAAGAAACAGTCATTTTCAGAAAGGCGTATATCTTGTCTTGTTGACATTAGCCTTGCTCAGTGATCATCGGCAGTTTTTTTGTGGCACTTGAGATAGGAGTAGCTTCTTCAGAACTTGTAAGTCACATTCTTACACTGGTTTTCTATAACCAGCTTGTTCAAAGCGTAGCCTTGGATACACTCTAAAATGAAAATCAAGAGGTTCGGAGCAAAGAGCAATCTTCCCTCTCCCTCCTGCATTCTTTCTTCATCTTGAGAGAGAATGTTCAAGGACATCCTTGACCAGATATATACGTCAACTTCACAAGTCAAGGCCAGTTTCACTGTTTGTGACAGATTAAAAATTAAGTTGAATGTGCTGTCAGACACAATGTTTTTACAATAGTGAAGTACTGCAAAAGAACTACCTATTCAGCCAGGGCTCTTTGACTTTCTCACCTGAAGCAAAACAACTCTTCCAATATTCCTTAAAAAAAAAAGACTGTTCTGATGGTAATGACATTTACTCTCTCCCTTAATCATGGAAACCTCCCATTTCTCAAACGGAAGGGCGTTAAGAGGAACTTCTCCTCTGGACATAATGCCTGGCCAGTCACACAAAGCACAACTGAAGGAGTGTCTGTATTTCACTAAGAAAGACTGTTAAACTCTTAAATAATTTAGATATTTACATACAGAAAGGCAATAAGATTTTACAGAATGACAATAGCTTACATGATTTTCACTAAGTATTTAAGTGTGAGAATACAACTTAAGACATAAAGGCACTTCCATCATTTTCCTTGGCTAGAGGTTTGCGATTATGCAGCTATGACCACAATTAGGGATCATTATTGTCCCATATTTTTAAGATGTGGAACCTGTAAAGATCTTTCATTTAAATAATACACTGCAGCTTCAAAAGCATCAATCACCTAAATGAAAATGCAAATTTCAGTTGATTCAGATACTTTCAAATACTTTGCTACCACCAATTATTCTTCGTACAACCCTTCTCTCCTCTGGTGTTACTACCCTATTTCAGTCTTCACTACCAAAAACTGTAAAAGTTTTCACTTTCAGGCTTTGCTTCCTCACTTCCCTTCCTTTATTAGTCCACTGCAGAAACCGCTAAAACGGCACTGAAACTGCTTTATTCAAGAAGGACAAAGGTCTCCTGACTTCTCAAAATGACTGGCTTTCGATCTCTGTAGAAGAGAGTTTCTCAGCCTTGATACTATTGTTTTTTTGAACCAGAGAATCATCTGTTGGAGGGAGAATTCTCCATTGTAGGATGTTCCGCAGCATACCTGGGCTCCCACCCACTAGTTGTGGGGAGATGTATAAGTTAACAAGTAACTTTGTAGAATCCCAGCCCTTAGTTAATAGGAAATAGCACAGTCAAACAAAGTACATTTTTCTAGAGAACTAAATAATGCTTGGGTAGGCTTTTTAAACAATGTCCCAACTTAGAAAAAAATGTGCTGTAAATTTTTAATTCCTATATTTTCAATAATTTTTCTTAAAACATGGGCCATGTCTCATTCATTTTTCTATCCTTAGTACTTGACATTCCGTAATCTATAATCTATATCTTAAATGAATGAGTAAATGAATGGATAAGTTAAAATATCTACATATCTGAAATCTTCAATTTTCAGCCAGGTTTGGCAAGTTTGCACACATGCCTATGAGATTACTTAAAAAAAAAAGGTTTTTAAAAAAATTTGGCTATTGCAGGTAAGGGGAGAAAATACCATGGGCCATGGAACATGGAATTGTAGGGAGGCTGAGGATGGAGAAGTGAAGTTTCCAAAATTCAATGAAAACCTTTGACCTCACCTTGGACACCTGTAGTTTACCTCGAGCCAGCCCTGTTTATCAAACTAATTCTTATCAAAGAATTTTACTATCCAGTGTTTGGAATTCTTTCTAAATACATATGTACTTTAAAATGTTTTACCGTCACTGGTTTCTGCTTTGCAAACTCCACCAAATATTTTAGGTAGCATTTGTAATTAAGATGGCAAACTGAAAGACTGGGATGTTTACATGCATACAAATCAACTGGATTGTCTGCTGATTATGTAGATTCTCTGACCACCAAACCCTAAGATTCTTAGTTCTGAGATGAGAATTTACATTTCAAAATATTACCCTGAATTGCTGTCGCATGGACCACCCTTTGAGAAACATTGCATGTAGCAGTATGGGTTGATGATCTGCTGAATTTCTAAAGTAAAAATGAAATCAGGCAGCTTTATTCTAGAAGAACTACTGTTGAATCTGCTTTTGATTCATTTTTGGTCTTTTATGCAAAAAGGGGTTCAAAGACCATGTTGAAGAAAAAAACAAATGAAATTATGTTTCTGGAAACTGGATACTTCATGAGGGATTCCCCTTGCAATTTCCTTGCCAGAGAGAGAGAGAGAAGTAAGAAAATAGTTCCCTTTCTCTCAGCATCAGAGGATGCTGTCCCTGCTTCTTCAACCTCTTCCGACAGAGGCGCTCTCTGCTCCAGGTCCTGTCTGGCAGCTCTCAGAGCTCAAGTGTTCTAGAACGCCTTCATGGCCTGAAATGAGGCGACCATCATTTGAGCAGCACCTGCTCTTTAGTAGTTGGCCAACAGGTTTATTGTCATCATTCAGATGAATTCATTGTGTCACAATGGTCTCTGCTTCCCATATTCCTTTTCTTCCACAAGCTAATTCTCAGGTGATGAATATCCAGTGGACACGACCAACGAGTTGATGAAAGAGGTAAGAGAATGCGTTCTGCCTCTTTTATCAGACACAGCACTCTGCATTCAGGGGGCGCTTTGGAGCGTTCAAAGGACTTTCATGAGCTGGTGTTTGATGGTCACTCCAACATTTGAGATGGCAAAGCATGTATTTTCATTTCCATTTTGCAGATGAGGAAACAGCCTCCCAGAGAGTAAGTGTGATGTATCCAGTAAATAGATGCTCAGAGCACTTCACTTGCAGTTGAGAGCTTCTTGCTTTTCCTGATCAACTAGTTGCTAGTGTACATTTCTGCTGCCTGTTGTTTGAGCAGTGATTGCAAGCTTAAGCTCAGACAGTGAATGCACAGAAAGGTAAGATGTGCATGTACATGTCATTGAGACCGCTTTGATTCCTGGCGACCTGTGAATGAGTGATGTCCACAATGTTCCATCTTCAACAGCCCTGCTCAGCTCCTGTAGACTCATGGCTTCTTTGATGGAGTCAATCCATCTTATATTTGGTCTTCCTCTTTTTCTGCTGCCTCCTATTTTTCCCCCAGCATTATTTTATTTTCCAAAGAACCCCGCCTTCTCATGTTGTGCCTGAAGTAGGGCAGCTTCGTTTTTGTCACTTATCCTCCAACGATGTTTCGGGCTTAATTGCTCTAGGGTCCACTTGCTCATCTTTCCAGTGGTTCAGGGTTTC